CGCCTAGCTCCCTTTTTTTTTTTTTTTAATCCCCTCGCCCGTCCCTCAATTGATTTTTCTTCCCTCCTGATCTTTTCCCTTCCTCCATCCTTCTATTTGTTCTATCTTTCTAACACTCAAGTCTGCGTGTTTGTCTGAATTATTTACTTTACGACCCATCTTGACGAGTACCCATTATGTCTAACGATCAGTCACTCCTTGACCGCGTCGAGATGCCTAGCATCCCCGAGGCTGCTATGAAGAAGATTGCTGTTCTGGAGGAGCAGTTCTCTCGTGCTGAGGTTGAACAGTGTATGTTTCTGATTTCCTAGTTTCTCTTTCTGTTGTTATGGTGGGGCAAGCAAAACAGCTTGCAGTCTACTCTACCATGGGAACAAGACAATGGCATTCGTTGGAAAACGTAGTTATTCATGAACCAATCGCTAACATATACACTATACAGTGCGCCACTCTGTCAAGCTCATGACCCCCCTGATCCAGAAGCGCAGCGAGATCATCAACATCCCCGAGGTGCAGGCTGAGTTCTGGATGCGCGTGTTCGCCAGTGCTCCCCCCGAGATCGACGAGTACATTCTGTCCAGCGACGCACAAGTTCTCGGCGAGTGCCTCAAGAACATGAACGTTGAGCGATTCGAGCTTGATGCCCAAGGCAACGGCGAGCCCCGCAGCTTGCGCTTCACCTTTGAGTTCAAGACCGGTGAGGAGAACCCCTTCTTCACCAACGATAAGCTCGTCAAGGAGTTCTACTGGCGCCAGGAGGTCTCCAAGAACGCTGCTGGCAAGACCCGCACCTGGGAGGGTCTGGTTTCCGAGCCCGTCCGCATCAACTGGAAGAAGGATATGGATTTGACCAAGGGCATGCTCGATGCTGCTTGCGACCTTGCTGATGCCGAGAAGAAGAAGGGCGGTGACCGCAAGAAGTTGCCCGAGTACGCTGCTCTTGTTAAGAAGGTTGAGGAGGCTGAGGATGAGGTTGCCAATGCTCAGGATGATGAGGATGACGAGGACCCCAGCCCAGTTGGCATGAGCTTCTTCGGATTCTTCGGATACCGCGGCCGTGATGTCTCCGCTGCTCAGTCCAAGGAGGCTGCCAAGGAGATCGAGGCTCGCTGGGTCAAGGTCCAGAAGGGCGAGGATATCGAGGATGCCGGTGACTCCGACGACGAGGATGAGGAGGACGATTCCGAGGGACTCGAGGAGATCGATATCTTCCCCGACGGAGATGACCTTGCTGTTGCCATTGCCGAGGACCTCTGGCCTGATGCGCTCAGCTACTACGGTATGTAGATCCCGGATAGCGAGTGACATGTTCACCCCACTGACTTTGACCGCAGTTCAATCCTTCCAGATCGGCGAGGAGCTCGAAGATATGGACCTCGATATGGAGGAAATGGACGGAGAGGACTCCGATGAAGAAAGTGAGTCGCGCCCGCGCAAGAAGGCTCGCAACTAGACCATTTGCACCCGAAACGCCATGATCCCCCCTTTTGATGATTTTTGCTTTTACCTAACACCTTGATTTTGTATTATCACAGTGCAATGAGGAGGATTAATAATAAGACGAGGACGAATATGAGCGCCGCGATACAAAACGAGGACCATGTATCTAGTCGGAAAAGTTAGTTTGAATTTGAGATTCCCAAACCAGACCAGACCAGACCATCCATCGCAGTAGAGATCCAGCATAGACGGAGTAAACGGGCGAAAAGTAAGCAGTGTCTTACCCTCGTTCTTGCGCACAATATGTTTGATGCGCGACATTCCATTCGACAACTTCCCCCCAACCCGGTCGGCCAGCGTATCAACCTCATCAATCATGACAGCCTGATCCTCCAACTCACGACCCATATCATCAGCCTGCTGGCGCAGATTGCCAACAGTGCGAAAAACACCATCAAGCTGCTCATCCTGCTCATGCATAAGCTCAGATTGGCGCTGCTGTTCCATAGAAGCATAATAGTCCTCCCCGCCACGACCGCGCTCCCCCTCAAGCGCAGCATCGAACTCAGTAGGATTGGGCAGTGCGTCAACGGCAGAATTGGAAACAGCATGCTGCAGCTCCTGGTGCATTTTCTCGACCTCGTCACCGACATCGTCGACAAGCTTGCGCCGCCGCTGCACCTCCTCTAGTTCCAGTCCATAGCGGTAGGGGTCTTGTTCGATTGCACGCACGCTTTCGACGAGGTCGTTTAGGTCGGCTGTTAGCTCTGTTAAAGTGCTTTCGAGCTCTGAGCGCGCTTGCTTGAGTTCTGGGTTGGATGGGCTTTTGGCTAGCGACCGGATGCGGAGATATGAGGAGAAGAGTGGTCGGCTGGTTTGTAGTGTTGAGACGACGTCGCTGGTATCTTGGTGGTTAGTTGAGGTTATATGTCTTGGGGCTGGTATAGAGCGCACGCTTGGACTTGTAGGAATGGGTCTGCGTGCTCCATGGCTGCGGTATGGGGTACTGGGTGTGGTGTTGATAGTTCTCGGCCCTGGGTTGGTCCATGGGCGAGGGAGCGGAGGCGGGAGTTGCTGACTGATTTCTAGGGTGGGCGGTTGGGACAACTGCGCAGTTTTTGGCCTGGAAAAGCAGTTCTGCCTTAAATCAAGTCGACCTTCACTTGACGACGGAGCACTTCACAGATCTGTATGTTTTAACCGAGACGATGGTAGTGCCATTATCTCTTTGAATATAACTCTAAGTTCCATCTAAATATCTTGTTTTAACATTCTTTATGGGGTTTTCATGTCTTTTTCCCTTTCGGATGCTGCCAAAGAGCATTAACTAGTTATGCGGATTTGATTCAATAGTCACCTTGTATCGTCAACTATAAGAGACATATAAAAGACTTGTGAGAATGTCTTCGATATAACGTCCTATGTCAATAGATTAGATTAGAAAGTAAGAAGATGAGACAACATGTAAAAGAACCGCGGTTCGAGCGTTGGGTTGGCCGACGACCAAAGAGCAACGGACTCTCTACTTAATTTATTTTCAACTCAACTTCATTCTTCCTACATACGTGAACTACACCTAACACTCCCCTTTAAATCAAAATGCCTTCCATTTTTGCGAAAGTCAGTACTCACTGGTCTTGCGCTTGTTATCTTTGCTAATATTTACTCAGAAGAACAAGAAGCCAGTTCCGAGTATGCTCTTTGAGGGGGATTTCCAGCCCGTCAATGACGCCAAAAACGGATACAATCATACCATTAAATGTCAAACATTTGAATTTCGGTCCTATGCATTTATTAATGTCATAGTCGCCGAGATGGCTCTGCGGGGACTTGTCCAGCGCTGCGATAGCATCGAGAAAAAGCTTGAGCAGCCAGTATCCACTCCAGAGGATAAGACGAAGGTGATGGAATGGAAGGAAGAGTTACAAGGCCTTCAAAAAGAGATATGCATGAAGCAGCATGAACTCTACAAAAGCGAAACATTTCTCCCTCACCGACCTTTGAAGCAGATGTATGACGCTCTCAGAGAGAATCCAACATGGTATTGTCGACCCGAGCTAGTCAGAGATTGTGCAGAAAGGGGCGGTTGCTGCAGTCGGAGCTGTAGGTGTTGCCAAGAACGCCATTTGACGACGCAAAGGACAAAGGGTATCGGACATTGTACTATAGATTGCAGCTGTTGTTCGGAAAACCGTGGCGCCGATCCTACTTCCGAAGAGAGAGAAGCAATATTTAGAATACTTGAAGATATGCTTCGTTCCTCCAATCCAGCCTATCTTGTGAAGATGATAGAGGCCTACTTTTCTGAGCCGGCCTATTTCACCGAAGTCGGAAGCCCGAAAATGGAATGATAATTATGCCGAAGCTATGGAAACAGGGACGGAAATTGCACTATACACGTATAAGCGGTTCAAGTGGCGAGCAGGCTTTACGAGGGTTGGTCTTTGGAATATCGTTGCTTTTTCTAATAACCGTGATCGCCTCTTTTGCTAAGCTTTCAGTGTGAGCTTTGCTACCACCATAATATCAGACGTGAATCGAATTGATATATGACACTGGTGTGAGGATTGGAAGTGCTCTTTTGAGGAAGGAATGATCCATCATAGGATAGTAGTACCTGCCTATATAACATAGACTAAACCTGTGAAGGAAGTGACGTACCTTCCGTCATGGTCGTTCTTGCCTCTCCATGAATCCCTTAAATCCAGCAATCCCACGTCTCTTCTTCAAAATAGAATTTCTCTCCCTTCAGATCACAACACAACCAGAGTGTCTGACTCCAAAGTAGGAGTCGCATTTGTCCACGTGCGCGCCAGGATGGATAAGAGTTGCCGTGACCAAGCCTTAGCCCTCGTTGAACCAGTGTTTATCTCGCATATGTTTGTGCGGTCAGAACGCGTCCGGGCGAGCAGAGCTACGTTGCAACCACACTTAAGCCGAGACACTCGCCGGAGTTGGGACAAGCTTAAGCAAAGTTGCCTGGACCGATACAAACTTCCGGATATTGACCCAGTGGCCGAGATAAGCCGCATGGAGACTCGATATGACTCGATGAAACAAGGAAAGGACGAAACGGTCGCCCCGTTCCTAGAGAGAGCAGACGACTTCCAAGCGCAGTACGGCTCCTACCAGAAGGCCCACTTCGGAATGAAAGTGGCTCAAGGTCTGCGGGACACTGGAAAGAGAGATTTGATTATGCCTGGTGATCATCGCCTACGTGGCGTGCACATCATATTGAGAGAGGTAAGTTCTTATGAGCTTTTCAAGCTTGCACTCACACGAGTTACTGACAGTTGCTTCCCCACGTAGCGAATCCACCGTTAGCAGAACAAGGCCATTACGCGATCCCGAAGACCATCGCCACTATGGGGGACGAAATTCGACACCGCCGAAGAATCCGAAGAAAAACCAGAGACCGGCAGGTGCTGCGTGCTTTCCAGCACGAGCTCCAAGGCGTCCGGACAGGGGCCGGACAGCATGCGACGTCATGAATATTATCCCCTAGGAGTGCAACTTTTAAATCTTGAACCTCAGACAAGTTATTGCATCTTGGTCGAAGAAATGGAGAGCCGAGAGGGAAGTCGCAGCATTAACTTGGTCATCTGCCATGTCTGCGTCAGAAAAGAGGAGCTTCTGAGCGTTGTCCTCAAAATGAGGATGAGCTACAAGGTACGAATAATATACATTTCCTCCTTCCGCACCCTCCATATCTATGGGTTATCCTACAATGCTTTGTCCGTTTCCCTGTCAATGATCATTCCTCTCATGCTCCATATCACGTACACTGCGTTATCCGATATTTTGTCAATGGCTACGGTTCCATTTTTCGGTCAATAGCCATGCTGCCCATTCTGCATCATGTCATGTTCATACCTTGACCGATGAACGCATTCGAAATATACTAACCATAAAATAGATACATAATCGTCTGTGTGAACATGGCTGCTGTCCCCTACTGGGACGAACGTCGTCTGATCCGGCGCCGACAGCCCGAATTTCCATCTCTTTTTCGTTAAACTGTCTGACGAATAGGTTTATCTCATCACAAAATCCATTCCACCAAGACACGTGCGGCATTCTGGCGCATCGACTTCACACAGAACGGAGATGTCCGTCGTGATAGGATGAACCATGGGAAAGTAGTGTTGGCCTGGGCTTATGGAATTCCCTGGGTCGTCGTGGACATATGCTAGCAGGGGGGAGCCAGCAATGGGGCGCGCTGCCATCAATGGGCTGGTTCTACGGGCCTGTCGTGGCTTCGGAGGCCGTGCTCAGTGACTCCTTGCAACATCGGTGGATGTCTTGTGGCAATAGCGACCGTGGAACTCTGATCGGTATAGATGACAGGTGGTGTCGTTGGAGGGGGCGCTTGGCCATATGTCGAGTCTTCCGTAGCGTCCAAACTAAGGGGATGTCCATCTTCTTCTCTCGGGGAACTTTCGAATGGACACGGTAGCTATAAAATCACCCTATCATCACACTTGACCATTGCCAGAGCCGGCAGTCCCTCTCCTGCCATAGAAATGTAAGCCTGTCCCTCTCTGTTGTCTTCTCTTTAGACCAGGATGTAATAACTTGTTTTGGATTCAATTGTTTGCACCCTACATGCATTGAATGCTCCACGGGTACACAGGATGCTAACGTTGTATGGCGCACTAGTGGAGAAGGAACGAGCTACCAGCTCAGATAACTGAAAAACCTCAGCTAGGGAGGCCAACGAGCGTGCTGAACGACCTGGTCAGCAAGTCAGAGATGCCGATGAACAAGCTAAATTTGAGCGGCTACGCCTTTTTTTGTTAAGACTTGCTTCTGGTTCTTGAGTTCTTTTCTTTCTAAGGGCTGGTTTGGGCGGGCTTTTCGCAGAGTTCCTTTTTATACTACGCGATTTATTTTGACTTTTGGGCGCTTAGCTTTTGTATATTCTAACATTGCCTTCTCCAATATTCGAAGATCAACAATAGCAAAAGCTATCTCAACGACAGGATTACAAAGAGTCTAGCAAAAGTTCAGACATCTCTTGTAGAGAGAACTTGCAGCAGTCCGATATCCCTATAGAGGTCCAAGATAGCAGCGCCAATCCAGAACTCTTCGGCGATCGAGGATGCGATGGAAGCCAAAGAAATTCCCGCGTCCCGTCAGCTTCTCTCTAGGATTTGAAAGGCTCCAGATTACCCAAGTTGTTAATCTGATCGAAGTCTTTCATCGTTCTGCTTTTCATCGTGGCTACTCCAACTCGGCCAAGATATGGCCCTGTCACAAGCGGCTTGGGTTGGTCTGTGTCAGCATCAAAGAGTCTGGCTTCCTGTATTAATCGAGATGTCAATCCTACGCATGAGCCACTGTTAACCTATACCGATAAACTATCCGTAAGGTGTCTGTTGAGCGGGAGGAGCTGACTGAGCGTCACCGGATGGTGAGGAACGGTTACACTTTCGCTATTAGAATCCACCTTCGTAGACCCGATAAAATATGTTAAACCTCGTCCGGAAATACTGGGTATGGTTGGCGCATGCTTTCTCTCCAGGTAGGGGTCAGGGCTCCAGGGCTGAGATCTGCGCTTAGGTAAGATCCCCAATATGGCCCGGGGCCGGTGTTGCCCAGGTGATATCTAAATGCAGCCCCCTCTGCCCGTATTGAATCGCTCTATTCAGGGTATTCTCATAACCAAGACTCTCGCCATGCAAGCCTTAAGAAAAGTCTTGAGGCTTCGACATCCCCATGGGAGCCTGTTCCCCGACGCGTCCAGAAGACACCTATCCATTACGTCCCGAGGTATCAGTACAAGTTTCCTAATTCGGACGCGCTAATCCAATCATAGGAAATCCCATTTCCAAAGAAGACTTGTTCAAATACACAAATGGCCGATTTCTTTCTGAGGAAGAAAACCAGCTATCGAAACGCTATGTTCGTTTCGACGTCGACCGGTTATGTGATATGGTCGCAAGCCTCTCCGGAACAGGGGCACCGCGGGTTTCAAGTATAGATAAGATGGAGGGTGGATTCAGCAAGGCCCTCCTTATGACAACCCTGGATGGCTCTGAATACATTGTCAAGATCCCGTGCCCGAATGCAGGAAGGCCTATGCACTGCACAGCATCTGAGGTTGCCGTCTTGAACTTCGGTAAGATTGATCTCCTATATACACACCATCAATACATGAACTTATGAATGTCCTTGATTCAGTGAGGACACATACCACAATCCCCGTGCCAAATGTTTTAGCATGGAGTGCCGACTTAACCAACCCAGTAGGCACTGAGTATATTGTGATGGAGCGAGTTCCTGGAGTTCAGATCTTCAAGAAATGGAATGAAATGGGAGAGGTCAACCGCATATCAATCATCAAACGTCTCACGCAATGGGAGCATGAGCTTGCTGAGATTCCATTTCCAGCCTATGGCAGCCTATATCACAAAAGTTCCCTAAGCGATCATGAAATAATCCCGTTAGATCCATCTGTGGATCCTGAAGGTCTATTTTGCGTTGGTCCTTCCTGTGATTCTCGCTGGCCCATGCAGCATAGTCCTAATGTTCACTGCGGCCCTTGTAAGTATTGCACCTTCCCTTCGACTGACTACGGCTAATATGCTTACAGGGAAAACAATCGGTGACTTGGGCGAATCTCTTATCAATCGCTCAATTCTCGAATCTCAACACCATCTCAATCCAAAACTACCAGCCTCCCTAAATGGTCCCTTAGAGGAGCATTTGATAACCCTTGGTATGGCAAAGGAAATTATGCCAGCAGTGGCAAATAATCCCAAGCTGCTAGCTCAGTCCCAGCCTAAATTATGGCATGCCGATCTTCATATGGGAAATATCTTTGTCGCCGAGGATGACCCGGCTAAGGTCACTGGCTTCATTGACTGGCAGCATACTTCCATCAGCCCCTTGTTTTTGCATGTCAGATGGCCCGTCTTCTTGTCTCCACCAGAAGACTACCCAGAGGGCCACGTAATGCCTCAGCTTCCACCTGACTATGAAGATATGGACGCCGAAGACAAGGAAATTGCCCAATACAACAAAGAAAAGGCTACTTGGGCGAAGGCCTATGAGGTTGCAACCTTTCTGAATGATAGAAAAGCCTGGAGAGCAATGCAAGTTCCCTTGCCACTAAAAGAACTATTCCTTCGCTGTGGTGATACCTGGGACGAGGGAATCCTCCCGCTCCGGGAAACATTGATTGGACTTTTCCGCAGTCAGCGGGACCTCGGATTCGAAGCAGATCTATCGTTGCACTTCAATGACGAGCAGATCGGAGCACACGAGAAGGAGTTTCAAGCCTATGAAGAATGGCACGAAATACGCACCCTCGTCAAGAAAATTCTTGATACTGATAATGATGGTTGGATTGCTCCAGAGAGCGATTTTATCGAGATGAAATCTCGGCACAAGGTGTTGTTCGACTACTATGTTTCCCAGCCAGATATTAACAAAACCCAAGATGAAGTCCGGAACTTATGGCCATTTTAGATGACCTTTGATACCATAGAATTCTTCTATTACTTATGAAAGTACATATAGTGTACCACCCAGAAAAAGAACTCGGAGCCCCGTCAAGATCTGTCGTGGCCCAATTGCCATTTGCGTTATTAGGCTAGGCGCGTTATTAGGCTAGGCCTGTCATAGTCCAAGAGATATGTTCGCGAATTCCACATTCTCTGCATCGATGTACAAATGTAGACCCCGCTATGTACTGAGACTTCCCAGAACCCACCATGATGCCCAAGGCCCCAAAGCATGAACTCCCAGCCGTATCTAAATGCAACCGAGAATCTAACAGGAATTATTTCTTGATCCCAATGACAGCCAGATTACGCGGGCTCTGACCATACTCAAACACCGGCTCAACCCAACACTCCTTGACGGAGTCATGCTCGCGCAAGAACTGCCAGCGATCAACCACAATAGCAGCCTCAACAACCTGAGCACTGAACGCCATCAAACTCCACACAATACTGAGGTTCTTGCGTGCGGGTGAGTACTGATTTTCATAGCGCTGCAACTCCTCTTCAGACATGGTACAGATGCGCTCCTTGACCAACTCGCCACGGGTGGGATCACGGCTCAATTTGACTGTTGCAGCACGCACATACGCAGCGAAAGACTCGAATGCGGACTTGCGCACGGATCCCACGATCAGAGCTATACCCTCCGAGTTGGGGTTATCCGTGTCGTCTTTGTAGAGATCATCGGGGATGTCAGGTTTAGGGATGATGTCGCGATCTAGAAGAACGCGTTGCAGCAAAGCGCGGTAGAAATGACGTGTGAAGAAATCTTCGCTGTCGGCGTGGCCCCAGTTGTGGGGTGCCTGTAAGGCCATTGAGCGGGCTGTGATGTTGAGCTTGAAGCCTTTTGTGGTCTTTGCTTGGTAGTTTTCATAAAGCTTGGACATTGGGAATCCGTGCGGGTCCCATGACGATCCGGTTTGCTTGAGGCGGGGGTGGGCGGATCGAAGGATGGGGATTTTGTATGTCGCTGGCCCCAATCGCTCTGTCAAGAGGTTGTAGCAGCAGCCAATCATGGCGATTGCTACAACAGAAGGGTTGAGTACTAGTGATCGGACTCCGTGGTGGACGAGATTTCCGCATGAATGCAGAGAAACAACCATGACCCGGGCGTCACTTGGTTTCTTTTCTTCGGGTTCGATGATGACTTCTTCTGTGCTGGTCCGGGTTTCAACTGATGTCTTTGGGTCGACGACGTGCTCGATGATCGGTTCCAGATAGCCATCTTGGATATTATGTTCTATGTAGCTGACAGTGCCTCTGGTATCGACCTTCGGTCGTGGCTTTGGTACATGTTGTACGTGTGGCTTTCTGTACATCGAGCCGAGCACATCATCGGCTTCTAGGGTCATATCGCCTAGCATGTTAGAGATCGTGGTATCTTCATCCTGGCCAGCAGGTTCTTCTGGCACTGCATCGCTCGGTCCCAGTGGTGCTCCCATCTCCAAGCTAGGAACTTCAGGCTTTTCCGAAGGGCCTAGGTCTGGGACTAGTTCTGGGGTGTCGGTACAGTCGATGCATTGCCTCTTCAATTTGTTTAACTTTGCATTGTGCATTGTCTTTTTCTTTTCTTCCGTAGCTAATCGAGCAACGACATCCATACGATTAGCACCACTGATGTATTGGTGCTTTCGCTCAATGGCAATGATATGTTTATGATAGGGCGAGCTTGCCAGCATGCGCCCCAGGTAGTTTTGTCCCGACCCAAAGTCGACAACGTGAGACAATGGCTCCCCGCGACGCTCTTTGACCGTCTCTGACAAAGACGCGACATAGCGAGAGAATTGCTCGACCTCGTGCTTCTTCTTCTTGTTCATGCCAACAGCAATATGTCTCGGGAGAGGTTCGCTCTTCTCGGATGTGGTGAACTCGCGGCGGAAGCTCAGCCCTCGGATGTTGCGAATGTATTCGAGAAGGCTCGTGGGCGGGAATGCGCCTCCGTTCCATGTCCTGCCATTCTCGGAGTCTGCGTTTGTTTCGGCTGGTTCGCACAGCGGGCCAATGTCCTCTCTTAGTAGCAGTTGCAAGATGCTGTGGATATCGTGATGCTCAAAGAATGATCGCCAGTCTTCTGGCAGTAATGACGTGTACAGATCGGGATCGCGCGTCAGAAAATCGAGGATATGCACACCACCGCAAAGGTTCATGAACATGACCGAATCGGTTGCGAAAGAGAGGAGGGCTTGGACATATTCGTCGGGATCCTTCCACTCATCGGAGAGTGGAAGAGGATTTCGGATCGTCATGCTAGATCAGATGTCATGAAAAGCACAAAACAAGTCGTCAATTCGTGAAACGAGGGGCATTCGATATAGTGTGGGGAATGTTATCGCGCTTCTTTTTTCTTTTATCTCCGTCTCGCCTCTAAACCCGTTTAGTCATCTTTGCAGTCGGCCATTTCGGAGCGCTAAGATCATCCCAAAATATCAAGCCAGAAGTGGTCTGCAGCGGTCTGCAGTATATTATGTAGTATGTCGTTCTCGATTCTTTTTGGAACTTATGTGAAAGCAAGAGGCCCTCATGATGAAGTTCTGCGCTATTCTCTCTGCCGGCTTTTACCTTTGCGGTAGCAGGGCGTACGCCAGGTAACAATAGCGGAGGTCGGCAAAGATATCGAAGCACGCGTATCACCTTGCACCGAACCTACGGTGAGATTTGTAGGTTTTGAGCACTAGCGAATCGCCCAGGGGAGCCTTGCTATTGCCAACGATACAATCATGCAAATTAGGGTGGCACACGAACCCCTAAAGTGCCAATACACTAAGCTCCAGGTTAAACTGCTCAGCCAGCTTGTTGTACTTAAGCCACGCGATGGGATTGGTCAACTTGCACCAAGGAGGGCCAAAGAACTTGCTGAAGAGAAACGGTTACGAAGGGACTGGAGCAAGAGGTAATGTGTATCGCCACCTCCTACTAAAGAGAGCGAGGCATTAATCAAAGCAGGGTAGCTCGAGAGAACGGGGAGGTCTTTTATATGGATACTGGCTTGATAATTTTGCAAATAGACTGAATTTGATGAAATTGGTTCTGGTGTAGCGCACTAAACGAAGCGGGGTAATGACCAGGATGTGGCTGCTACACACATACACAGATACCAAAAAAAGAAGGCAAGAGCTAGAGGGAGCTTGGAGCCTTCCAGCAATGGAGGACACCACGGACGCCACGGACACCACGGTTGTCTCCCGTCTTGTCTCGCTTGCTCCCGCCCCCGCAAGGGCCCTTGACGCGCTCAATGGTGCCTCCGATACCGACCTGATGACTGCGATGCGCTTTAACTGCCAACCCTGTGCACGCAAAAAGATCAAGTGCAACCGCGCGGTGCCGAAGTGCTCCAGTTGCAGCAAGGCGAAGCTCCAGTGCGTCTATCAGCCGCCGCCGCCGCCGCGCAAGAGGAAGCGCAGCCGGGGCGAAGAAGACGTTCATGAGCGTCTAGCACGGTACGAGCGCATCTTGCACGAGCACAATCTCCTCCCGACGGCCGCTGCCTCGACCCCCAACGGCAGAGACACGGAGACCTCGGCGATCAGCACGCACCCGACTCCATTGCCAGATTTGCAACCCGGCGCTACCACTGGCAAAGTGATTTCCACCGGCGGCAGGTCTCGCTACATTGACAATGTCCTGCTCCTGGACAACGGCGAAGGGGACCTCTGTGAGTTATCCGAGTCCGAGCAAGAAGACTACCACCACGACGAAACCGGCCCCGACGAAGGCACCCTGACGGGTGTTCTTGGCGCTCTCGTCGCACATACGATCTCGGGCGGAAGCACGCAAAACCTTACTCACCTACACCCTAGCTATGAGCAAGCGGACAAGCTCTGGCATGCCTATGTGCAGAACGTCGAGCCTCTTTGCAAGATTCTTCATGTTCCGACGGTTGCCAAGACGTTCGAAGCCGTCTCCAAGCACCCGGCAGCCGCCTCGAGGAACGATGAATGCCTGCTGTTTGTCATCTACTATTTCGCCGTGTTCTCCATGTCGAACGCCGACTGTCTGCGCGAATTTAACAATCCAAGGGCACAGTTGATGTCCAAATATCGGACCACGGTTATCCAGGCACTGGTCAATGCGTCGTGGCTCAAGACGACCGAGCTGCCGATTTTGCAGGCTTACACACTCTTCCTTATCGCGTTGCGCACTCAGATCGATTCACACACCTTTTGGATCTTGACGGGGATTGCGATTCGCCTAGCGCAGCGCATGGGACTGCATCGGGACGGCGAAAGACTCGGATTGCCCCCATTTGACGTCCAGATGCGCCGGCGGCTCTTTTGGCAACTGTTACCCCTGGACGGCTATGCCGGCCAAACATCCGGCACGGGTATATCCATTTCTCCCAACAGTTGGGATACCAAGCAACCGCTAAACATTAACGATGACCAGATCTTCCCTGGCATGACCCAGCTGCCCTGTGAGCAACGAGGCGCCTCGGAGATGATTTTTTGCTTGTCCCGGATGGAGCTGTCGAATTTCTACATTCGAACGAGTGTCAAGCTGAAGGGAAACGGGGCCACAATCCAGTTTCGGGATGCCGAAGACATTGAGCGGCTGATCGACGAGGTGGAAGACCTCATCGAGACCAAGTTTCTGCGGTACTGCGATATCCTGAATCCCTTGCACTTTCTAACCTCCGGCATCGTGCGGTCGGCCATTGATTCCGTCAGGCTGCGTGCCCGGATGCCGCTACTCAAGCAACAGACTATCACCGACGCCCAACGGAGACACCTCTGCACCCTTGCGGAAAAGGTGCTCGACACCAACAGTGCCATTTTTAGCAACCACAGCACCCAGAATTTCCGGTGGCAGATGCAGGCATTTTTCTTGTGGGATGCTCTTCTCTGTATTCTTCGAAGCATTACAGAGGTGGGATTCTACTCGCCGTCCGAGCTTGCTGCTGCGTGGAGCAAGGTTGCGGACGTCTACGCCAATCACGACGAACTAGTTAAGGCCCGGAGAACTCTGTATGTCACGATTGCTAAGGTCACTCTGAAGGCCTGGCTAGCGAATCCGCCCCGCCATCTGTCTCCCGAGCCAGCGTTCATCACCGCGCTGCGCGCCCAACGCGAACCCAGAGGCACTAATCGGCAGCAAGGCAGCGCCTTGTCGGCTGACACGGCTGCAGATGGGGCTTTTTGTTTTGATGAGCTTTTCGATAACATGGACGGGACCGACCTGAACATAAATAACGGCTTCGATCTCGACTCTACTTCAGATTGGCTGTTCTGGGACCACATGTGTCGAGGAACCAGTCTGAGCTGAGAGCACGGATTGTTCGCATTTCTCACAGAAGCGAACTGTCTATGGTATCTTAATAAAATACAAAAGATCACAAGTTATTCCACCCTTCCCATGTCATCCGTTCGTCCAGGGGCTACTTCCGCATGGCAGATTCAACCTGGTCGGAAGTCATTACACTTTAAGACAGCCGTGGCCTCCAATTTAACCCTCCTCGCACGGCAGACCCCACCTCTTTAGCCCGCGGCATATCTGGAAATAGCACGGAGCTGGGGACCAAAATGCCAGAAGGCAAACGGCGTCCCCCACCCGATCGCTATGGTGATGAAGGCCAGCACACTGGTGCCCCATCCATAACCCAGGGCACTGTACATGTACGGGGCAAATAGTGGGAATCCGAAGCCGCACAGACTGCGAAGCACCGCACAGGCAGCCATGGCGCTGGCCGCGTAGGTTTGGTAGCTGTCGACAATGTACATCTGCATGCCCTGCAGGCAGGAAATCGTACCCATGGCGAAGAGTAGCGCGCCAATGTTAGGCATGATCCAGTGCGTGTTCCCAATACTCCAGCCGTACCAGAAGAGCCCGATGGTGCTGATCACCGAGCCCACGGCCAACGACGGCATGCGGAACTCGGGCTTACCGACCTCGTTGTTCCGCTCTTTGAGGCTTTTGTACATGCGGTCAACAAGCTTGAGGTTGAAGAAGAGCCCGGCGAAGGATCCAATGGCAATCGAGAGATAGTTGAGACCGCCGATTCCCGAACTCTCGTGGTAGACCTCGGTCCAGATCTCCGGGAAGGTTGCAAGCATCAGATACGTGATTCCGAAGAGGTAGGCCATGTAGATAGCCATACAGAAGATGATGGCCTGCGTTGTGAACATCCGCATCGGTCGTTCAAAGGCATGAAGAAGCTTGTAGCCCAGTGTCTCAACCCTCTCTGCGGTATGGAGGTTCTCGTTGCCTGTTTCCTTGGCGAGACGGTCGCGTCGCTTCCGTAGAAGCGTGCCCGGGTGGCACTCCCGTAGCCAGAAGAATCCAACAGCCTGCACTGCGACGGCAGCGGCGGAGGTGGCCCAGAATACCCAGCGCCAGGTTGAATACTCAGCGATAAACCCGCCAGCAATCGGTCCGATCACGGGTCCCAGAAGCGGTCCCAGAGTATAGACACCCATGGCCTTGCCACGTTCTTCCGCTGTCCACATATCGCTGCCAGTTCGGTCAGCCCGGGGGTTTTTGAGCGTTGTCCCGGACCTTCTCTTACCTGATGGCTCCACTCCCAATAGCCAGCGGTGCACTGCCACCGATACCGGCTAGGAAACGAAAAGCAAGAAGCTGGGCCTTGGTCGTGGCGAAACCGCATCCCAGATTCCAGGCCAGATACCACATGTTGCTGACCTGAAGTAAACGTACCCGGCCGTAGAGCTCCGACGCCGGACCGAAGAAGATTGGGCCAATGGCGTAGGCGAGAATAAAGATACTTAAGGACAGGTATATCTCAATTTCCGTGCGCATCCCCAGGGACTTGGCGAGATCGTCCATGGCGGGAGCAATGGTAGACGACGACACGGGCGAGATGAAGACAAAGAAAGAGACGGCCCAGGTGTTCTTCCATCTCAGACCTTTAGGCCAGTTTTTGGGATTCTCTGGGTCCTCGGGCCCATCCCAAGTGACGAGATTTGGATCTATATCGGCCTCGAGGGACGGCTCGGGAGAACTGATCGCTGTAGAGCCCGCTTCGAGGTCTCCCACTTCCTTCTCAGGGAAAGGGGACCCCTCGGAGGCAGTTGAATGTTTATCGCTGATCTTGCTCATCTTGCTCACCTTGGTATCGAAAGTCTGACTATTTTGGTATGAAGGAGCGTGGTCTGGGACCTTGAATTATACATCTTCTACTTCCCATCCGTAGTGTTAGCCAACCAATGGCGAGGCTCTATTCTGCATCGGGCCCGGATTGCCCGTCACGGACCGATGCGCTGTCCAATAGGAGGCGGTCCTGGATCGGGCCCGGGTCTGATCCAGAGCGTTTCACCACCGAGACACAAACGATTCTCTTTCTCAAGTTTGTTGTAAACAGCATGCTGGCCTGGTATAATTGAATAATATCTGCTACAGCCCTAGACAGGGTGGTACCTACAAAATAATACTATTATAGAGTAATCACAGGTAACAGTTACAGTCCTTTATGAATTGAGGATCAGGTCGTAGGATTAAGAGCATACACGTAATCTGCTCTTGTAATGCATTGGCTATGGCCCTAACACACCTTAGAGACGAGCAGATACAATGCCACCACTTCCACGCCATGTCCTACAAAGTCCTCGCTCTGACTTTCCAAATACAGGATCATGACTCGGCTTTGGAACAGCCCATACTCTCTCAAAGTCTCCCCCACTCTTGACGAAATCCCAATCACCACCGTTATAAGCTCCCATCATGGTGTAACCAGACAGCTGAATATCAGCCAACGCTTTCTTCGGGTCCTCAGCCTCGATACCATGTCCCCTCCCTGGTGTCAAGAGCTTGAACTCTGCTTCAGGCTTCGTGTCATACGTCTTATGCGCCACACCAGCAGGAATGACAAAAACGTCGCCAGCTTCCGCTGCCAGTTCAACCCCGCCATCCTCCCAGGAGGAGCCCCGTGTGTTCTGGAATAGATCATCGGATGTGTCGGCGACGCCAAATCTGATCTTAGCGGTTCCAGAGAGGACGGCCATACACTCGTGGGCCTTGGAGTGGTAGTGTGATAGTTGTGTTTCACTATATCGGAATATCCAGTTCACTCTCCACCCATTCTGGGTGAACATGTCCCAGACCTCAACCGGATCGCAATGGGAGCTGCTAGATTTCCTAGCGAGGACATTCTTGTAGTGTAGTAAAGGTCTCGGCGAGTTTGGGATGAGATCTGTTGGGAACAGGTGGTACTGTCGAACTTCAACCATGTTGGGTGTTCTTGTTTTATTAGCGATATGAAGAGGTGTAAATAATGTTCATCACACTGACTGTTCACTTCAATATATACAACTGTGCGGGGGGATCGGCACAAGATCCGAGTTGGAGGGATCGGATACGGTCCCCGCGATTGACCACACGGAATAGGTATATATTGTTACACACTATCTATTCCTACATCATACACGCATCTGCAGGTACGTACTATATATTCCAACTTCCTTTGCCATTCTTCACAAAAAGACACGATAAAGATCTGCGTTGGCGTAAAGGAAAGCCTCCTCAGATGTCTCTCGCATTTCCCTCACTTTCCTCTTACTTTCACCTTACCATGACCCCACTCCTATTGCCGAGCATGGAATCCGACTCTCGATTTCCCATGCAGCTTTCATCATGAAGAACATGGCTTGCTCGCCCAGCTCAAGGAACGCAAGCGCAAATGCAACACGTTTGTCGCTAGGGAAATTGTGTGCAAACGTGGGAACCAACCGACGAGCCTGGGCCGACGCCACTCTCGATGGGGGCCACATCAGTCTCACCTCTGTTTCGAAATGGAAAATTAGCGGCCCCCCGGTCGACTGTACGGACCTGAAGAAAATTTAGGACCCAGCCACCGAGTCGCTCTGGCTCCAAGAACCGCCGTCTGAACGACGCCGGTCTCGTCTACGCGCTGCTCACCCTATCAGCGAAGTATCGTTCGGAGGACCTCACCTACGACTTCGACAAGCGCGGAGAAATCCGTAAGGCCCGCGTACCGGAACCACCCACAGTCGTCGTTATGAACAACGTCGAGTTCTTGTTAGCATGGAAAGACACCCATGTCAGATTGAATCTTAAGTTTCACCTCTTTGTCGTGACAAATACCTCTCAATCATCACTCACGTCTCAATCATACGCACTATGGACATATAACACAGCAGTGTCCCAGCATGGACGAAAGCTGCATATTCTACAAAGTTCCTAGGTCCATGAGAGGTGATACATCACAACATTACACCCCTTTTCTCAACCCAGAACCACTTGGTAGCCTGTTGTGGCAAATGGGCTGTGGTGGGATGGTGGGAGAGCATCAGCCGCAAAAGGACAGGTCCGTACTGGGATTAACTTTGTCCTTTGCTGGACCCGAAGTCACTGGTGCCCCTGCATCCCCCTCAGTTTTCCTAACAACCTTTCATTGGCCCTCAGTCTCCCGTCCCAGCCATCCCCAATCCCACCCCTGCCATATTCACCAGCAATGCTATCTTCACCAGCAAAGCCCCGTCATCCAGCCAGAGGCGACCCCTACCTGCAGGGTGCTTTCTACTCGCGAGTCAATTCCCCGCAAACCATGATCCCAGTGACAGCGTTGCTGTTGTCGGAGTCGCGAGTGAAATATTCGTTATAAAGAATGAAAATCGCACTCCAGGCTGGGATCTGGGGTGAACGACGACATCAAGAGGTCATCTGGGACCTCAAAACCATCGCGACCATAACGGGGCACCCACCCGAACAGACCTCCTATGGACCCATTTCATCCGAAGACTCCTCTGGCCTGTCGCCAAGGAACAGGACTTGGTGAAAAGTCAGCCCCTCGAATTTGCCCTTATCCTGGTTCAAATCCGAGACCCAACTCTCCGGGGAGTGCTTCAATGCCACCTACCCTCAGCTCCTCGCTGAAGAGGTCGGCAAGCCCATCAAGCGGACTAAGGCAGTCCTTGTCTAGGTTTCCCCGACCGTCACACCCCTCTCCAGCGATTTGCCATAATACGCTGGAGCATGCCATCATCGTGCGGGTACTGAAGTTCAACTTGGACGGTTTTGAATATACGGCTAGGAACTTCGCCAGATTCTATGAATGGCTAAAGCAGCAAGTAGCAACTGGCAAGGTGACAGCAGCTCGCCAACGACAGCGCCAATGGATCGGCTTGAGAACGCTACGGGATACGGCAGTTGCTTGGATGTCCGACGCTCTACAAAGGAATTGGCACTGGAGAGACACTATCGGATTCCTCGCCGTGATTGTACAGGCGGCGACGGGATGTCGGGTGGGGGGACATTATTAGATCGAATAGCTATACGGGATCGGAATTCGTAAGATGGGGGGATGTTGACCTACGGCTACGTGAGCCGATGCACACACCAGCTACCGTGGAGGATATGGAGTGTGTCATCAAAGTACGTTACGCCAAAGGGACCAAGCAGGATCCTTCCAATTTTCAGTTGAAGAGGATCGGTGCGCTGCGTGAGCGGCAGTGGAACTTGCTTTGTGTTGTCAAGTTCATTCTTATTTGCGCACATCGGCAGTGAGGAAGCTTGCTTGGCTCAAGACGCGAACGTTCAACGGACTATGTCGAGTGAGATCACCGGACGCGTTGTGGAAGGCCAACTTCGATGCGGTCATTGCAAGGCTGGCCGCGGGACTTTCAAGTTATCATAGAAAAGCAAAAAGGACAAGGATTCACCGCGAATACCAATATCGATACACTCGAAGAAGGTCTCCTACCGATCTACGAACCCTAAACGTTCTGTGTCGTCCCTCTTTATCATTTTCTTTTTGCCGGGCATGGCACAAAAATGACTACAAAAACGACTACCAAAGCCGCATGAGCGGCCACTATTTTTTCCTGCTAGCTTTAAGGAATATTCGAAGGGATCCCGAATCAGGAGCGGATGCTATGTCGTGGAGACGGCGGTGTACCATTTCAACTCGCTCGTATCGATGTACGGAGTACTCCGTAGATACACCCAGTTAGGAGCATCCTTGTAGAGGTGATAATGCCCAGGCGATCCATGGTCCCCGGGCCCCGGGGCCCCGGACGCTACCTTCAGGGCTCGAGAGTATCCAACCCCGCCTTGGAATGGGCCGTCATATTTCCAAGGTTTCCTACTATTACAATGTCACGGGTCAATAAGTGGGGTCTATAGACCCAACCTTCCCTCTCTGAAAATATCCCCATCATCCCCTGTCTTTTCTACGAACGAGAGGCTCCCCCAGGAACCGGAATCTGGGCCATGGAATCTGGGCCACTCATTCAACATGAGCGCCCGATATTGACGCCTTCAATGATACCAAAAGATTTCAATTTCGATGCCAAAGATTCTCAACTTTCCAAAAGGTTTGCCAGCCTCCGTTTGCCGGAAGAAGTTCGTAAGCAAGCTGAAGGTCAGCATCTCGAAGCCTGTCCAGACGTTAGAGAAACTTTCTCGATGCCGGGCATCATGTGCGACCACCACCTGTGGTCTTCAAGGATCTGGGACTTGGGTAATGATATAAGAATTTCAGAGGGCCAGGCCCTCCACGCTATTGGCCAACGCCTCAAAGATCGTGTGCCAGTTCCGGAGATATATGGATGGCGGAAGTATGGCAATTAAGTCTTTATCTATATGGAATATTCGCATGGACAGACTCTAGAGCAAGCTTGGGATATTATGGAGCTTGTTGACCACGTTTCGATCTGTTCTGAGCTTCCGACAATCTTTGATAGTCTTTGCCGACTTCAACACTGTACAGAAGTTTCATAATTGGTTCACTTTCCTTTGCCGAAAACCGATGCCTGACCTGTATTCCATGCCAGTCGAACCATTTCGCGATGATCTGCCCGATGATTACCCCATAATTTTACGCATGGCGATCTCCACTGCAACAACGTTTCCATAACAAGTTCCCAACCTTATCATGTTCTCGCCATTGTTGATTCGGAACAGTCAGAATGGTTCCCTGCAAACTGGGAGGCTAGGAAGGCGCAGTATACTGCTGACAGACATGGGGATTGGTCTAAAACGTATTTGCCAATGATTTTGTGCCAGTTCGCCAGCACTTGGGACTCGTGGAACTATTACACAGTATCCATGGGATGTCAGAATGTTTGACACAAATTATCAGTCTGTCGGGCTTTCATCTAGCTATTTAGCTGGCTTTTGTTTGTTAATTATCGTCATAGATGGGCAATTAAAACGAGGGTAATCTAACCACCCGGTGATTCCATACTGAGTAAGTTTGCATTCATCCTCTCACTATTTGTGGCAAAAGCCGAAATGATAGTACATATTGCATATGATTATTAAAATCTGATACGGTTCTGCAAACTTTTCCTTCTAGAACTTTTGTAATCGTCGAGCAATCCTTGGAACATGGCCAGTCTATTAGCATTTGGTATATGTAGTTGGTTACCGCCAAAAGCATCTGTGGTATTGCCACCCGTAGTCCACGGGTATATTGTATCTCGCTTGGGCGAGTAGGTGGAAGGCGGAGTAGAAAGTGGTGGCAATAGGGATTTGCCACGTTTGTCAATGAGATTGGCAAAATCCTACCGCCCTCAGGGTATAAGTAGGTCCTCCTGCCCCA